TCTCTACTAAAAATACAAAAAATTAGCTGGACATGGTGGCGTGTGCCTGTAATCCCAGCTACTCAGGAGGCTAAGGCAGGAGAATTGCCTGAACCCAGGAGGTGGAGGTTGCGGTGAGCCGAGATCGCGCCATTGCACTCCAGCCTGGGTAACAAGAGTGAAACTCCGTCTAAAAAAAAAAAAAAAAAACCCTCATTCTCGAGAGGGTCTGGCACCACACCCAGAAGGAATAAATGCATACTCAGAGAGGCAACAATAGTCCAGACAGCCTGTCTGTGCTGGATTTCCCTGCTCAGTCTATTAGCATTATATCCTACCTTTTTTGTACAATCATATTTCTACATGGCTCTCCATACTTTGTTTAACCTAACCTAAGGGGGCTTAGAGTTTTGGCCTGGGCATTGTCTGTTGGGCAGTAGAGTGAGTCGTCCCAGCTTATGGGTTTGCATCTGGTTCTTGTTGTAAAAGGCCCAAAGCCTGTTGGATGGCAACCCTGAGCCATTGTGGAATGGCAGTTCCAGTTTCACGTGCCAGGATCAGCCCTGCTAGGTCCTGCTCCATAGATAACAAATGGCTTCCTTGTGGTGTTTTTATCCTATTTTGTCTCATTAACACTACAACTTTGTCTGTTATCTACTTGCTAATTTGTAATTGTAAATACACACAAGATTATGTAATTTGTGTAAATACATAATGACAGACTTCTGAAAACTGGTGTTTTTTACTTGCTGTCCATTTGGAGCTGCTTTAGGTTCTGTGGCACATGAATTTTGGGATCTTCGTTCTGAAGGCTCTTGTGTCACGTAAAATTATGATCAAATACGTTTGTATGATTTTTCTCCCATTAATCTGCATCTTATCATGTTGCCCAGGCTGCCACCTTATCTCCGTTCTTGCTGAAATCTGGCTGTTTCTCTCCACTTCTGTTACCAACCACCAGCCAAGTCCAACTTATTAAAAGGATCATCTCGTATGTGGGTTCTGTAACAGCTTCTTCAAAATCCATTCCTCTCCACCCAGACCCTCTTCCAATCTCCCAACTGCAGGCAATACCATTCAATTCTATCACCACTCCCACACAGGCCACCTAATCCTTAACCTTTCAGTGGTTTCTCTTGCCCCTAGGTTAAGCTGAATTTAAAACTATTAAAGCTAGAGCTTCTTAACGTAACTAGTAAGTGCAGTGACTAATAACTAATAAGTACAGTGACTAATATGTCTGGTTTACTCCAGCTGTTGCTGATTAATAGCACTCCTGAATGAAGAAATTATATTATTCTACTGTAGGGAAAAATTTGTACTTCAATGGAAAACTGAATTGTTTAGAGCAAACCTTTAAGATTATCTGATTCTGATTCCTTGCGCCCTTTCATTGGGTCTTACATTGATTCATTTTTTTGAGTTATTTTATAGATAACTGATAGAAATGCAAAATAATTCTTGCATGTCCTCATGCAAGTAAATTCTGAAGGTCAGGGTTCAATTAGCTTCTCTCTCCTACTGTGGAAGAAGCCAATTTCATTTGCATATTCATTTCAATATTTCCAATCTATAAATGTGTCTGTTCTTTGAAACAGTTTTTATATCTGCCTGGTAACTTCATTAAATGATTTAAGTAAACTCTATAATTTAGTTTATTCTATACCTATATGACAGGCTTTTACTTTATTTTTGCTTTTTAAAATTATTCTTTAGCTCTCCATAAGGCACTACGTGGCTGGCCCTTTGCCTGCTCACTAGCCCAAGCTCCATCCTCTTCTGTCTACTCCAGCCCTTGCTCTCTTTGGGTTCTTTGTTTCAGCCCTCCTCAGAGATGTTCTTTTGTCCTGAAACTCACTTTCATACCAGGTACTCACCATCCCTTCTTCCTTTAGTAAAGTTCTTTAATCTTTCAGATTTCTGCTCAAGGATCACTTGCTGAAAGCCTTTCCAGGCCTTTCTGAGTCAGTACAATCCATTAATAGAGGCTCTTAGAGCACAGGCAGCTCTTACAATTTTACATCTGTTTGTGGGATTCCTTAACACTTTCTGACACAATTAACACTTTTGTCTCTGGTGGTGGGCAATGCAGGATGACAGGATGGTGGTATGCTCTCAACCCTTCCCCAGCAACTAGCCCAGTGCTTCCAACATGGTGGATACGCTGTTTACATTTTAACAGATTTTTGAGTAGCAAGTACCTACTGCTTAGGAGACAGGTGGACTAAAAAATATATTTGGGAGTCACCAGCACATAGGTGCAGCCATGAAAATGCTCAAGAAGCAAAACCATTGGGAGGAACAAAATGAAAGCTATTAGAGACTTTATTTAGGTGGAATAATTGGACAGATGCTCTTGAAGGGGAGGAAACAGAAGCAGTTAATACAGATAGTGGCTAGGCCCTGTGGCTCACGCCTGTAATCTTAGCACTTTTGAAGGTTGAGATGGGTGGCCTGCTTGAGTCTAGGATTTTGAGACCAGCCTGGGTAACATAGCAAAACCCGGTCTATACAAAAAAATACAAAAATTAGCCAGGTGTCGGGGGAGGCTAAGGTGGGAGAATCGCTTGAACCCAGGAGGTGGACGTTGCAGTGAGCAGAGACGCTGCCACTACACTCCAGCCTGGGTGACAGAGTAAGACTCCATCTCAAAACAACAACAACACTTATTTTATAAGCTACCCTGGACTTACCAGGAACATTCACCACTCTATGATAGCACCTGATCTGCCTGGACTCTGTGGTCTTTGGAGCTTGGGACCCCACCCCAGCGTAAGAGGTCTTTCTGTGCCTTTTATAAAGGCGAGGAAATGTGCAGGTTTTTCGAGTTGATAAGATTAGAGCTACAGTATATTGTCAGTAGTGCTGTATGAAACCATGCAAAGAAAACCAGGCTTTCACCTAGAATAAACTGCCCTTTCCTCTTTCCAAGATCAAGTCAGCCCCAGTCACCACTTCCTATTAATTTGAAAACCAAGAAGTCTCATAATTTAGGCTGACGTTGCTTCAGGACAACACTGTGTATAAGACAATAGCTATTCCAATCCCCCTTTCCCTTTCTAAGCCGCATGGTATTTCTAACATCACTTTTCCAGTTCTCTTTCTAAATATTGCAATTATCAGCCTACATCGGAAAACTGAAAACAGTACGATTGGAGTTCTTGATGGTCTGCGTTGCCTGAAAACGATGAAAGGCGTGGAGATCTGGCAGAAACAGTCCTTAGGGGATGCGAGCCTGGTAGCCCCGTAACACCCGGAGTTACAAATTCGGTTTGGGTAGGTGGCGCAAGGAAATCTAAAAACTGGATTCACGTTTTCCCCTTTCAGTTTGCACATAGGGGTCGGTGGCAGACAAGAGCAGACACACAAATGCCAATACCCGCCTGCAAACTCTCGAGGACAGAAATTGTCTTTTGTCAGTTGGATTTGGAGTCGATGGAAAAACTGCCCTAATGTAGTTTCCCCAAGGTTTCCTTAGCCTTGACCGAGGGGCACTTCTCCGCCCTAGAGGTTGTTTAATAAACAAGGATGGTTGTTTAATAAACAACCCAGTCACCTAGAGGTTGTTTAATAAACGAGGATGCTCGCGAAGTACCTGCGCTTGGAAAGGCGCTCGCTCGCGGCGCACTATCTCGGGCCACCGCAAACCACCCAGGTGGTGGCAGGGACAACCGCCTCTGTTTTCGCGACTGCAGACAGACTGGGACCAGACGGTTGGAGGCTCCTCCCCAAGGGAAGCTGGAGGGGCTGCGTCGTACCATGCGCCTGGCCCTGGCGCGCGGCCCCGGGTCGTGGTACCCGGCGCCCTGCAGGCCTTACGCCTGGGCTTGGCCACGCCGCCTGCTTTCGCTACCAGCCGCGCGCTCGGTGCCACCTCCGCTCTCTGCAGCCCGGCGGCCCCGCAGCCTCCCCATGGCCAGCCCGCTTCGCTTCGCTGCGGCCCTTGCCCGCCAGGTACCTCGAACCCGGGCGTTTGTGGAAGGGGGGAGGATTGGAACTAGGGTCTTGGTAGCTCACAGGCCTGGCCGGGCGCCTTGCCGCGGTTTCCTGCACCATCGTCCTTCGCCTCGCTCTCCATTCCGCCTCCAGCGAGGCGTCTCCTCTTCTTCCCCCATCCCTGCCCGAAATCTAGAGGCCGAGCCTGCAATCTCCGCCTCAGCGAGGCGAGGTGCCCGCTGGCTAGGTCTACCACCAACATAGGTGACCTGCTCCGGAGCGCGGCGAGGACCGCCACGGGGGACGTGAGGGTAGCCATGGACTCGCTCTGAGGGAGGAGGCGGGAGCGGAATCTCTGGGCTGCCAGAACTCACAGCCACATCCTACGTGCCTTTGCCACCCCAAAATATTTTGACCGCAGCCTTCTGCCTCCTGGGATCTCTTTTCCCCTCCTCCTTCCCGTAGTTATTTAGCAGATTAGGCTTTGAAACAAATAACTGCAGGGTTTTCCCAATTAGTCTGCTTCCCTCTCTTTATCTTTTAAATTGCCCCCTAATACCATGAGGTTTAAGGTGTTGGGTGGATGCTGCGGCATCTGAGGACCCTGCTGGTGGAGAAAATGGTTCACGCCCGTCCTCTTCCCCGTCCCCTTTGCAGTCTTGCCATTGTGCGCTTCTGATTGACAAGACCACGAGGCTGAGCGCGCCCTGGAGATTTTTCTATAAATGGCTTAACACCCCAGTCTAGACTATTTGCTCGGATATAAGGGAGACAATTGTTTTTTTGTTCTTTGCCGGCGAACCCTGGCTCGGTAGGGCTGACCTGGAATTTAACCAGTCTTCCCTGAGTCAGTGGAGGAGGACAAAAACCGCCGAGACCCCAGCAGTGGTGGGAAGTGCAGGGCAGCACTCCCAGGACGCGCTTGTTGGAGGTTCGTGCCTGGGTGCTTGGTTGTCTGATCCTCCTTTTTCTGTTTGCGCGGGTCCTAGAGAAGAGCACACGGTATCATGGTGAGTCATGTATGTTACCTCGGGTCCCGCTCACCCACCTGCATTTACTTAATGGTGATTTAATTCTTCTTTAAGGACTGCGGTAACGGATGCTCCGCGGAATGTACCGCAGAAGGAGGATCAAAAGAGGTGCTGCGGGCTTTTAAGGTAAGTTGCTTGCTAGATGTTAAATGTCTAAAGCAATATTCAACGAGTAAATCCATTTCTTGTTGAGATTTGGGGGAATTTTCACTGTGTGGGTTACCCAGTACCTAGGTTGTGTTGTTTGACATTTAAAATTCCACTCTTAGAGCAAAAAAGCCATTTAGAGAGCGACAGTACATTCATCACAACAAAAATTATCTAGCAGCTAATTGCTGACTTTGAGTCATAAATTTTTCCTGAAAAATAGTGATTTTGTAAATATTAACCTAGATGTTTTCTGATTCCACAGTAAGCACAACCCTTCATTCTACTTGTAGAGCAAGTTAAACTGTGATTTTTCTCTTTCAGCAGCACATAACACTGTACAGTGAAAGTGTTGCATTTCCTTCTTTTCTGTCTGAATTATGGGGTTTATATATTAAATAGCTCCTACTTCACAAGGGAATAGTGAGGAACAAAGCAAATTGAAAATTGTACAAATACGAATATAGGATGGAATATTGTTTTTTCTATAAATCATTATGTTCTGCCCTCCCTCCCCATGGAGGTTTTGGCCTTTTCTCTTTATGCCTAGTGCTGCTTTTCTGCCTGTTTGAGTCACTGTCAATTGTCATCCATAGCACAGAGTGTCCTCATGATCTCACATCCTGGTGGTTCAGAGAGGGAAGGAAACTTGACTCATCAGTTTCTTACACATTCAGCTCTCTCTCACAGTATGCTAGGGACTGTGCTATGCATTGGAAATCCAAAGGTGAATTCAAGATTAGGTCTCTACTTGCAAGGATTTTTTATTTTTCTTTTTTCTTCTCTTGCTGTTATCTTAGCAAGGATTTTTTAAAAAACAAAATTCGAATATTGCAATTTCTTTCTTTCTTTCTTTCTTTTTTTTTGAGGCAGGGACTTGCTCTATCACCCAGGCTGGAGTGCAGTGGCACGATCTCAACTCACTGCAATCTCTGCCTTGAAGGTTCAAGTGATTCTCCTGCCTCACCCTCCTGAGTAGCTGGGATTACAGGCATATGCAATTATGCCAGCTAATTTTGTATTTTTAGTAGAGATGGGGTTTTGCCATGGTAGACGGGCTGGTCTCATTCCTAGCCTCAAGCAATCTGCCTGTCTCAGCCTTCCAAAGCGCTGAGATTACAGGCGTGAGCCACCAAGCCCAGCATGAAGAATTCTCTGTAAAGAATAATGTCAACTCAAATATAAATAATCTTTTCCTTTTCTTTTTTTTTGAGACAGAATCTTATTCTGTTGCCCAGACTGGGGTGCAGTGCACCATTAATTAGGGCTGACTTTCAGCCTTGATCTCCCAGTCCCAAGCAATCCTCTTAGCCTCTCAAGTAGCTGGGGCTATAGACTTGCACGCCACTAGGCCCAACTAATTTTGTCATTTTTTTTGTAGAGATGAGATCTCCCTGTGTTGCCCAGACTGGTCACCAACTCCTGGGCTTATGCAGTCCTCTCACCTTGGCCTCCCAAAATGCTGGGTCACAGGCATAAGCAAACATACCTGACCATAAATAATCTTTTTATTTGTTAATTTAGATTTCTGTATATTAGGTTTTAGTTAGGGGAATTGCCTATTGACATGTATTTACACATCAAAACATGAGTTATGATGGATGTAGTCACAGCACATATGTAATAAGGCATGTGTTTCTTCCCTGATAATTTAGGGAAGAAAAATGGTAGATTTTATAGACCATCTTGGTTTTTGACATACTTTTCTCTTTTTTAAATTGATACATAATATGTATACCTATTTATGTGATATTTTGCTATATGCATAGACTGTGTAATGATCAAGTCAGAGTCTTTGTGGTGTCCATCACCTTGAGTATTTAGCATTTCTATGTTTTGGGAACATTTCAAGTTCTCTCTTCCAACTATTTAAAAATGTATAGTCCCATGCACAGTGGCCCATGCTTGTAATCTCAGCACTTTGGGAGGCTAAGGTGAGTGGATCACTTGAGGTCAGGGGTTTAAGACCAGCCTAACATGGTGAAACTCTGTCTCTACTAAAATTACAAAATTAGCCGGGCATGGTGGTGCACACCTGTAATCCTCAGGAGGCTGAGACGGGAGAATCACTTGAGCTTGGGAAGCAGAGGTTGCAGTAAGCCGAGATTGTGCCACTGCACTCCAGCCTGGCTGACAGAGTGAGGCTGTGTCTCAAATATATATATCCTACGTTGTTGTTAACTATAGCAACCCTACTCTGCTATGAATACTAGAATTTATTGCTTCTATCTAACTATATGTTTGTACTCAATAACTGACCTCCTTCCTCCACCTCTACCCTCCCTACCCCCTGCCATCTTCTGATGTCTATCATTCTATTAATACTCTCTTCCTCCATGAGATCAACTTTTTTTTTTAGTTCCCCCATATAAGAGAGAACATTTGTTTTTATGTTGGTTTTTTTTTTCTTTCTGTGTTTGGCTTATTTCATTTACCATAATGACTTCCAGTTCCATCCATGTTGCTGCAAATGGCATGATTTTACTCTTTTTTAAATGGCTGAATAATATTCCATTGTGTATACACACCGCATTTTCTTTATTTGTTCATTGACAAACACTTAGGTTGATTTCATATCTTGACTATTGTGAATAGTGCTGCAATAAACATGGGAGTGCAGATATCCCTTTGATATATTGATTTCTTTTCCTTTGGAAAATACCCAGTGGTAGGATTGGTTCATATGGTCCTTCTACTTACAGTTTTTTGGGAAAACTTCATACCATTTTTCTTGGTAGATACACTAATTTACATTCTTACCAACAGTGTATAAGAGTTCTCTTTTCTCTGCATCCTCATCAGCATCTGCTATTTTTTGTCTTTCTAATAGTCATTCTAACTGTGGTTGCTTTTGATACATGTTTCTATCTTTTTGTTAATCTACATCATTTATAACATTTCATATTGCCTTTTGGGTCTCTCTTGGGTAGTTTTCATATTACTCCTCCTGCCCCAATTATGATGCAGTCATATTACAATGAAGATGCAGTTTTGCAGCAGAGCCTAGCAATGAGATACGCCATTACACATCCTGGTGAATCTTTCTGTGGACTCCAGGATCCTCTTCCTTTGAAAGAGGTCAGCCATCTACTTCTTTCAATTTTTCTGGCTTTACATATCTCCACATAATGCAACAATACAAATCTGCAGTTCTCTTCATGATCCTCTTCATTAGATTTTAAAAGAGTATATCTAAAAGATGATGAGCATGGTCCCTAAGGCTTTCCAACTAGAGTAAGAATAATGCACAGGAACCTAGAATAAAGTTATTAAATGTCCAATACAGTTGTAATGTAGACTTGATTTTTGAAAAGTACAGACAAAGAAGAGAAGAACAAATGTGCTATTCAATGGTGAGTAAAAGGTTTTGACAGGCTGGGTGCAGTGGCTCACGCCTATGATCCCGCATTTTGGGAGGCTGAGGTGAGTGGATCATTTGAGGTCAGTAGTTCGACACTAGCTTGGCCAACAGGGTGAAACCCAGTCTCTACTAAAAATACAAAAATTAGCTGGGCGTGGTGGCATATGCCTGTAATCCCAGCTACTCGGGAGGCTGAGGCACGAGAATCGCTTGAACCCGGGATGCGGAGATTGCAGTGAGCTAAGATTATGCCACTGCACTCCAGCCTGGGCAACAGAGGGAGACTCTGTCTCAGAAAAAAAAAAACGTGTTGACTTCAGGTACTTTCAACAAATTTACACTTCCCTGCCCTGAGCCTCCCTATTTCAGAACAAATGATTACCCAACTGCAGACTTTGAATTAGGAAGTTGGTTTTTTGTTTTGTTTTGTTTTGTTTTTTTTTTGTTTTTTTTTTGAGACAGAGTGTTGCTCTTGTTACCCAGGCTGGAGTGCAATGGCGCGATCTTGGCTCACCGCACCTGGGTTCAAGCAATTCTCCTGCCTCAGCCTCCTGAGTAGCTGGGACTACAGGCATGCGCCACCATGCCCAGCTAATTTTTTGTATTTTTAGTAGAGACGGGGTTTCACCACGTTGACCAGGATGGTCTCGATCTCTTGACCTCGTGATCCACCCGCCTCGGCCTCCCAAAGTGCTGGGATTACAGGCTTGAGCCACCGCGCCCGGCCTGGAAGTTGTTTTTAATATGCCCTGTTTTTGCCAGTATTTCTTGCCATTTCACAATCAGTTTTTATGGCATTCCAAATTCTTTCACAGACATATGGTACGAAACCTCCTGACATCAATGTCATCAGGGAATATAGAACATTGGAAAGAGACAGATTAATTATGCAGAAGAAAGTATCATTTGGCAAAATATTATTTTTATTCATCTTCGGAAAGGAAATTTAGAAAAAGAAAATAGTTTTTGAAGAACACTGAAAAAAATTGTTTATAAAATTTGCTTCCTTTAAGAAAGGAATTTTTCTCTTAGAACTACATTTCATATCTGCCCCAAACTAGTCACACATCTTCAGCTAATATTGTTTATTTACATTTGACCTTTATTTAACTGTATTACCTAATAATTTAGTATTGTTAGGTAATTTCTCTTTGAGCTCAGGTTAAAAGCTCTTATTTTAGTTTCCAGATTTGCAGAAATTTTTTAAAATAGAGGAAAGTTCATGATGAGACTATAAAGCCACCTAATTGTATATTACTTTGAAAAACTGGATATATGCCACGCTTGGTAGCTCACGCCTGTAATCCCAGCACTTTGGGAGGCCAAGGCAGGTGGATCACCTGAGGTCAGGAGTTGAGACCAACCTGGCCAACATGGTGAAACCCCATCTCTACTAAAAATACAAAAATTAGCCACGTGTGGTGTCACATGCCTATAGTCCCAGCTACTCGGGAGGCTGAAGCAGGAGAATCACTTGAACCTGGGAGGCAAAGGTTGCCTCCCAGGTTCAAGTGAACCCAGACTGCACCATTGCACTCCAGCCTGGGTGACAGAGTGAGACTCCATTAAAAAAAAAAAAGAAAGAAAGAAAGAAAAGAAAAAAGAAAAATTGGATATAGGGCAGTCCTTAGGTACAAATCAGAAAGTTAGAGGTTACTATTCATATCATTAAGAAATCATGTGTCTTATGAAAGACTATAGTGGTTTACTGAAATAAACTCGTACCTAGTAATGTAATAATTTATCTTTATCAAAAATTTAATTGGTATGATGAAGTTCTAATTGTAAAAACACTTAGTTGAGGTTAAAAATCATCTTATTGTATCCCTGCTTTGCCACTAATTTGATCTCTCTGGAATAGTGGGCTCTTGTCGGTCCTAGGGGTATTTTAAGGAGAGGTCTCAGAAAACTAAAAATTATATATACTGGACCATAATCATTCTTGTCACCTACTCTCATCTTTCTGTTTTTGTTTTGTGCCTTACTACCACCTTCCTTTTTTATTAGGTAGTCTTAGTAGAAGAAAATTTGCATTAAGTTTGTCTTACTGTATTGATATGGCTCCAAATATTTCTTAGCCCAGGATCCTCCCCATTCACTGAAAAAGCTAATTAAAGCAAATCGCAGGTGTTCACTGTGCAAGAATACTGTGAAACTATTCATGCAATAAAAAGTTTGTGTTAGAATTTCATTCTTTTTAAATCCTGGACATCTTCTGTGAACGAGTCTATCATTCATTATGGGGTATATCTGAAAGCAGCTAGACATCGTCAATATTTAAGAAACCTTTACTATTCTGTGTGCTAGGCACTGTGTTAGCTTTGGAATTCAACTGTGAATAGCCAGAGTTCTTATTTAACAACCCCAGAATAAGGGTTGCTAAACTTTTTTTTTTTTTTTTTGAGATGGAGTTTCAATCTTATTGCCCAGGCTGGAGGGCATTGCCGTGTCTCAGCTCACTGCAACCTCTGCCTCCCAGGTTCAAGTGATTTTCCTGCTTCAGCCTCCTGAGTAGCTGGGATTGCAGGTGCCCACCACCACGGCCAGCTAATTTTTTGTATTTTCAGTAGAGAAGGAGTTTCACCATGTTGGCCAGGCTGGTCTTGAACTCCTGACTTCAGGTAATCCACCTGCCTCAGCCTCCCAAAGGCTTATGATTACAGGCGTGAGCCACCACACCCAGCCTGCTAAACTTTAAAGGCCTAGATGATAAATATTTTAGGCTTGAGGACCATCAGGTTTTTGTCACAACTAGTTGACTATGCCACCATTGAATATACAATAATGGTGTGACTATGTTCCAATAACATTTTAATTCCAAAACATGCCAGCTGGCTGCATTTGGTCTGCAAGTAAAATCTGCCTGACCTGCTACCTAGTCTAGAGGATAATGGGAGAGAAAAGGGATTCAAAGATAAAAATACTTTAGCTGGAATATATTTCTTTAAATAAACTTATTGTACTTAGTAAAGAGTCTTACATTAACATTTTTACTTGCATTAAATAGTGGTAAAACAGGCTAGGCATGGTGGCTCAGCCTGTAATGTTAACACTTTGGGAGGCTGAGGCAGGCAGATTGCTTGAGCCCAGGAGTACGAGACCAGCCTGGGCAATATAGTGAGACCCTGTCTCTAAAAAAATGTACAAAATAATAATAGTAATAATAGAACAAAGTCAATTTTTTATTGAAACTTAGCATTTTATTGGCATATTACAAAGCAGCATTAGTAGACTAGCCTGAACATTACAGTAATATTCTGTCCTTAATGCGTTTTGCTTCATTGTAGTATGAGCTTTCTGGTTGTTTTAGAATGTGTTTTTCAGCCTGAATATTATTCTAAAAATATAATTTAATGTCATTCATTATATATCAAATGATTCAAGTAGCTGCAAGGCAGTGAATTAAGCAGAATTAGGTCATTTAAGAAATAAAGATAATTCACTTTAGTGAATGCCTGTATTTAATTTGGGAGGGAAATGACTGTCTTTGTGTATTCAAAGAGATGGAGTTTGGCATCCCATGACAACCTGATAAAGGTTGAACTTGCCCCTGGTTTTTTAAATGATCAAAAATTTCCTTCCCTGGTATTTTTGACAGCATTCCACAGCTGCTATAAAGTTAGTGGTGGTATCACATGCAATTTGTATGCTTAATGTTTGGCCATTTGCAGTGGGCAAACTGACTATGTAGGGAGCTGGTGAGATGCACCTTGTGGGGAGTTGTTTCCTATTACTCTGATTTATCTTTGTTTAAATAAGAGTTCCTTTGTTCACTGTTTCCTCCACACAGAACAGAGGATTTATATCTTAGTGTTCATTTTCGACTTCCCTGTTTTCAAAGAGGAAAACATTTGCTTCCCTTTGCTCATTTCTTCTCCAGTGCACCCAGGATTTTGAAGGCTTATGCCAACAATTCTTTGGGGCATTTGGAGTGTAACAATTGCCAAGTAGCAGTTTGGTACTTAATGACATTCTTTTTAGTTTAACAAATCATTCTGAGTGCTGCCATTTTTTTTTACTATGGAAAACACCCCTCTCCTCTTTCCCAAACACACAACATGAGTCCTATGTTAAGAGTGAAAAAGGGATGTATATTTTTTTGCATCATTTTACCCCATCTGCTATTTTGTCCCTCTTGTATTTATGACTGAAATTTGGTTCTGATATTCTATTAGGCAGTGTACATTGCAGAGATTATGAATGACTAGCTGAATTCTGAATGCAGGTATGATTTGTTCAGCTCACAAAGTGTTAAATTTCTTGCCAACATTTAAAAGTCAAACGATTTCACTTTTTGCCCTCTGTATCATCTAGCCAGTGAATGCTCAGTAACTTTTTCTTTAAATAGTGATGATTTTTCTTCCTTAGGCTAAAGACCTTGTAGTCACACCAGCTACCATTTTAAAGGAAAAGCCAGACCCCAATAATCTGGTTTTTGGAACTGTGTTCACGGATCACATGCTGGCGGTGGAGTGGTCCTCAGAGTTTGGATGGGAGAAACCTCATATCAAGCCTCTTCAGAACCTGTCATTGCATCCTGGCTCATCAGCTCTGCACTATGCAGTGGAAGTAAGTACATGGGAATTAAAGAGAGTGACATGCTTGCATTTCACTGTGGGTACTAAGTAGCTTCTCCTGCTAAATAGCTCTTGGGCAGTATGGGCTGTGTAATATTTACCAGGGGAAACTGAAAATGTCTTTAAAAATTTTCCTGTAGACAGTTGGATTGAGGATAAATCTTAGCAGCTAATTTTTCAGATAATCTTGCATTTTCTGTGATGTCAATAAAAAAATTATTTAGAGCAAATAGAAAGGACAGCTGTTGGGAAATGTGGTAATTAAAAAGCCAGCACTATTGATATTTTAATAAGTCACCTCTCTTCTTAGATCTAATAATTGAGAAAGGGTCATTGAGTACAATATTATGATTAGATTTTAATGCTAACTCCATGTTTTTATGACCAGCAATAATGTCTAGTTATGCATGTTAAGGGACATGTAATTAAATGTCCTCCTTCAGGCATGAGTTGAACTAATTATAAGCATAAAATGTTCAGAGAATTCTTTCCCTGGTCCTTTTCAAGATACACGGTTAACCAGATGCACAATGAACTTCCCATTGTCTTGATGTTCTCATTGTATTTTACTTTTTAATGTGCTGGACATCTTTCCCAGAATATTAGAGGTGCTGGAAATAATAGTCTTCCTATTAAGCACTAAAATATGGTAATAGTAAAATATTAATAGATATAATGATAAAATAAGGACTTTGGTTTATTGAATTCCTGCAATACATTCTGTGTTATGTTCCATATATGAATCATATAATTTAATTACCTTAAGTGAGAAGGTATGTGATTAAGCATTCAGGTTCTGAAGTCAGACTTCCTGGGCTCAAATTTGGTCTCAGTTGCTCCATAGGAACCTTTATGACTTGGGGAATTTAATCATTTGTGCTTTAATTTCTTTATAAAATTGGGGTAGTTCCAATATCTATCTTACATTGTTCTCATCAGTATAATTTTTCTAAGCACATAGAGTCATGTCTGGTGCCTAGTGAGAGCCCAGTTGTTAGCAATTGTAATTAACTCTTGAAGCAGTGGTCTCATCCATTATAAAAGCAGGCTCAGAAAACTTGTTTCTTGCTTAAGATTACACAGCAGTAAGGGTGGAGCTAAGGTTCCAATGAGACTCTTCTTTCTGTCAAACAACCCCTAAATGTATACACCAAAATTACTAGGAAGCTTTTGTAATTAACTCCTTCAAAATTATAAAATTGTATAATTTTGGAAGCATATTCACTGTCTATATGTATCCACCAAATGTTGAATTTAGGAATCTAAGTTTCTGTTCCCAGCTCTTCCTTTTATGTCAATTTGAATGAGTTCTTTCATTATTTGCCCCAAGCCCTCACCATGTCATAAGGTATAATAAAGAACACATGCAATGAAGTGCCTTTTTTTTTTTTCCCCAGACAGTCTCACTCTGTCACCCAGGCTGGAGTGCAGTGGCATGATCATGGCTCACTGCAGCCTAAACTTCCTGGGCTCAAGCAAGCCTCCTACCTCAGCCTCCTGAGTAGCTGGGACCACAGGCACACACCACTATTTCTGACTAATTTTTGTATATTTTGTTGAGACAGGGTTTTGCCATGTTGTCCAGTCTGGTCTTGAACTCCTGGGCTCAAGCGATCCTCTTGCCTTGCCTTCTCAAAGTGCTGGGATTATAGTTGTGAGCCACTGTACCTGGCAATGTGCTTTTAAATTTGAAAGAAAGAATATGGCCAAGCCTTAGTCATTGGTTCTCAAACTTAATGTGCATCAGAATCACATGGCTACACCCCCAGAGTTTCTGATTTCTAACAAATTTCCAGGTCATGTTAATTTTGCTGCTACAGGGACCACATTTTGAGAATTACTGGCCTATGGGAAGTAAATGAGGAAGGATTTAATGTCATTTTTGAAAGTTAAAAAAAGATCTTGGTGGTCACTGGTTTTTGAAAACTCTTTGAAGGCTGGGTGGGGTGGTTCACATTTGTAATTTTAGCAGTTTGGGGGAGATGGGTTCTTGGGAAATGAGCCCTCGACCCATTGGATCTGATGCTATTTCCACGTACATAATGTCAGAATCATTCAAACCAAACTGACTCAAAAACCAAAATCTTCTATTATTAGTCTTCTGCTTGCAATATATGTAAATGTTTTGTATTATAACTGGATTGTGTGTATTGCATAATTATCACTGAACAACAAAATTAATAGCTTAAAATGACAAGCCTCATTTTAAAATCATTTTTCATGTTTCTAGGGTTGACTAGGATGGTTAGGTGGTTTTTGCTTGGGGTCTGACACACGGTTGCTGTTAGTGGCTGGGGTTAGAGTCAGCTCACAGGCTTCTTAGCTCATATGGTGCTGTGGGAATGTCTCTTAGCATGCTAATGCTTTATAATTTGTGTATAATGTACAGTGAGGACAACCAGAAGTCACTTTCATTGCCATCTGGGCTGCAAAATTCAAGGAATTGAGGGCTCTTCCAGCATTATTTGTTCTCCCTGTCGTCTCCTCAGCATGGTGGTTCGCAGAGTAGGCAGCCTTCTTTTATGCTGACCTAGGGCCCCAAATCTGTGTGTCTCAGCTGACTGAGCCCAGATGGAAGCTCTATTGCTGTTTACTCCCTAGCCTCAAAATTACTCTTTCAGGAAAAATTCTCCAACGGAGTTTTTCATCTATTCTCACACCACCACCACAATAGTCAACATAGGAGACTTCTGTGACCAAAGGTGTGGGGATTTCTCCCCACGATCAAGCAGCAAACCCCAGCTGGGTGTCCTCCAATTCAATTCCTACACTGTTGTTACGGGAAAGGGGTCCCAATCCAGACCCTAAGAGAGGGTTCTTGGATCTTGCACAAAAAAGAATTTGGGGTGAGTCCATAAAGTAAATTTATTAAGAATAGCTACTTCATAGACAGAGTAGCTCTGAGGGCTGCTAGTTGGCTATTTTAATGGTTATTTCTTGATTATATGCTAAAGAAGGGGAAGATTATTCATAAATTTTCCAGGAAAGGGGTGGGCAATTCCTGGAACTGATGGTTCCTCCCCTTTTTAGACCACGTAGGGTAACTTCCCATCATTGCCATGGCCTCTGTAAATTGTCATGGCACTGATGGGAGTGTCTGCTAGCATGCAAATGCATTATAATTAGCTTATAATGAGCAATGAGGATGACCAGAGATTACTTTATTTGCCATATGGGATTTGGTGGGTTTTGGCTGGCTTCTTTACCACAACCTGTTTTATCAGTGGGGTCTTTGTGACCTGCATCTTGTGCGAATCTCCTATCTCATTCTGTAACCTAGAATACTAACCTCCTGGGAATGCAGCCCAGTAGGTCCCAGGCTTATTTTACCCAGCCCCTATTCAGGATGGAGTCACTCTGGTTCAAACATCTCTTATATTATCCACCTGGAAATACTGTCAGATCCCATTGGCTTGAGGACTAATTCCTCAAGACCCCCCACCAACCCCACCTGGCTCAGACATCAGTCACAAGTTCTCGCCTCTGAAATGTCTGATTAACTGGCATCAAGTTAGAGTTCCCATGACCCCCTCTTGTGGTTTAATTAATTTACTGAAGCGGCTCACAAAACTCAGGGAATCACTTAGGTTTAGTGGTTTTTTTAATAAAGGATATTGCAAAGTATACAGATGAAGCAATGTGTAGGGTGAGGTATCAGGGGATGAAGTGCAGGGCTTCCATGCCCTCCCTGGGTGTGCCACCCTCAAAGAACCTCCATATGTTGTTCTGCTATCTGGAAGCTCACTGAACTCATTCTTTTGGGGTTTTGTGGAAGCTTCCCATCAATATTCTTTTCCCTGGGGTATGAGGCAGGACCCTCACTGGAGAGGGTCTTTTATTTTATTTCGTTATTTAAAAAATATAAGATGGGGTCTTGCTATGTTGCCTAGGGTGGTATTGAATTCCTGGGCCCAAGTGAGCCTCCCACCTCTGCCTCCCAAAGTGCTAGGACTACAGGCATGAACTACCCAGTGCCTTTGGAGAAGCTCTTAAGGCTCACAATCGGAAAGGAAGGCAGGAGAAAGTCAGAGAGATTCTGCTTTCTGCCCCTGAGGCCTAACACACCCAGCATTATAACAAAAGACTGTAACAAGGGCTACAGGAGTTACCAGCCAGGAACTCTAGATAAAAACCATTCTATATACCACAACCATGCAGTATTATTTCTGCCTTACTCTTATCAGTCATGATGGTTGCAAAGGCCTGCCCAAGTTCAAAAGGAAGGAAAAAGCACTCTACTTGATGAGGAATGTCAGAGTTCTGGAAGAGCATGGGGGGAGTGGAAATACTGTATGGCCATTTCATGGAAACTATGGTCTGTGATATACATGAGTGATAACTGGGGAGATATGGTGGGTGCATTGGTTTCCTCTGAGTGCCAGATTGGGTTCTAGGATTTCACAGGCCAGGTATTAATGAAGTGACTGCGTTGTCTGGGGTATATACCTTGGGATCGTCGTCAAGTGCCAGAAAAATTTAGGACAAGGAATCACACGAGTTTAGGAGAAGAGGTTTAATAGGCAGAAGAGAAGGATGAACAGCTCTGCTCTCTCTGTAGAGAGAGGGGGTCTCCGAGTGGAAAACACCATCTAGCAGTGGATAAGCTGGATTTTATAGTCAGGTTCGAGGAGGAAGTGTCTGATTTACTTAGGGCTCACAGATTGGTTTGATCAGGTATGATGTTTACCTGGCTCACCAGGAAGTCTGGTTGCCCCACCCTAATCTTATTATGCAAATAGGCTTTCCAGTTGATTGCCACCATCTTATCTACCCTTTACTGTACACCTGGCTGACAAAGAGAAGGGAAGATGGAGCCACCATCTTGAACATGATTGCCACAACTTCGGGTATCTATGCCTGCAGTTCGATTTTACAGGCTGCTCTTCATTAGAAAGGCCTGTTTTCTTTCTAACATTTTAAAAACCCTTACACGGAAAATTAGGCAGGGATTTTATTTCAAAGTATCTTCCCAAATACTATGGTAAAACATCTATTTCATTTATATTTCAGGCTTTTTCATAGATATTAATGTTCCTCTTAGACTGATACACGTAGGACATCACATGATTGTCAACCTTTTAAGTTCAGTAATAGTTGCATTTTTAATGCAAAATTAAATAGGAGTAATATCTTTGAACATGTTTCCCCTCCACTCATCGGACCTGCTGATTCTAGAATCCCTTTTGAGAGCTGCAACTACATGTGGTTTCTGTTAATATTTGAAAGTAATTTTTAAGATAAATATGTGAAGGTTTCAAATAGTGGAGGAGAGACGCAAACTGTGAGTAGGGAACATGGATAAAAGGATATGAAAAGTTGATAATAGGCACTTCATTTTCAGGTTGAAATCAATAGTAATAAAACCTTGCGAGTTTTATTTTAGAAAGTATTTGCAAGCCAGGTGCAGTGGCTCATGCCCGTGATCACAGCACTTTGGAAGGCTGAGGCAGGCAGATCACTTGAGCCCCGGAATTTGAGACCAGCCTGGGCAACATGGCGAAACCTCATCTCTACAAAAAATACAAAAAATTAATTGGGTGTGGTGGTGCACACCTGCAGTCCCAGCTACTGTGGAGGCTGAGTTGGGAGGATTGCTTGAACCCAGGGGGTGGAGTTTGCAGTGAGCCAAGATCTTGCCACTGCACTTCATTCAGCCTGGGTGACACAGAAAAACTCTGTCTCAAAATAAATAAATAAATAAATAAATATATATATATATATTTGCATGAATTTTTTTGTATCTTTTTGTTTTTTGTCAGCTCAGTCCAATCTAACAATTTTCTCTTTTAACTGAAGCTTTAATCCTGTTGTATTTAATAAACTAATAATATATTTGTACTTAAATGCAAAATCTAATTTTGTGCTTATTAATTATACATGATTTGTATTTCTTTTTTTCTTATGTAAGATTTTAGGGTATACATCTTTAAAGTCCTTACTTTTTGTTATCATTCAGTTTAACATATTTTCTAATTTCCATTTTTCTTCTGTGACCTACAGGTTTATTTAGTGGTAGACTGAGTTTCCAAAAGGTGGATAGTGTCCAGTCATATTTTTGGCGTTGATTTCTGGCTTATCTTGTGGTTGGAAAACATGTGAATTCTACAGCCCAACTGTGTGAGAGTTCTCTATGTCAGGGAAGTTTGTTGTTCCTGTTGTTCATATCTTGCCTATGAAGGTATAGATTACTAAGCTTTAGCCTGTTCTATAAATTACTTAGAAAACCTGTGTTAAATTTTCCCACTAAAATTATTGATTTTTCTCTTGTCCCTGTATTTATCAGTACATATCTACTGAAGTCTATTCAAATCCCTGCTCAGTGGTTTGTTGAGGACAGCACTTTGTTTGAGGAAGGTGACATGGCCTAACATAGAATGGTCTTGAGCTGCCAGGTTTCTGTGATATAGGGACTGAACCAGCTCTGGTCACATCTGGATTATCTAATACCCAGTGTTCAAATGAACCAGATTAAACGAAAGAATATGGGGGTACTCTTTGGGGGCCAGGGTGCCACAAGGCCTTTAGTTTCAATCTCCATTGCCTAGGGAATTAACCTGTGTTGTGTGATTTTAGGTGTTTTCTTCCTGCTCCCTTAAATAACACCGAAATGTGTTATTCAGCAGTGTGACTCCTGCTAAGCCATGAAGAATTCGGAATTCCTACCAAATTCTGATGATAAAATAACTCCCCCCGCCACCCCCACATTGTTTTTACTAGTCCTGTCAACTGTTAGCTTTCCTGGATTTAACCGATCTCAAGTTAAGGTCAATATCAACAACTTTACGAAATGAATAAGATGAGCGGCCATAGGAAAGTCAGTCGATTGAACACGGGGGTTGTTTTCTTTTAGTTACCCTCTAAGATTTTTTTTCCCTTTTATCTCCAGTTATTTGAAGGATTGAAGGCATTTCGAGGAGTAGATAATAAAATTCGACTGTTTCGGCCAAACCTCAACATGGATAGAATGTGTCGATCTGCTGTGAGGGCAACCCTGCCGGTATGTACATGTAGGAGTTTGTTTTGTGTTTCTTTTAATGTAATGGGTCACAGTGTTGACCACCAAATAAATCATTTCTGAATAGTTAGACAAATATTCAGTACAAACCATATGAACATTAATGTTATTTCTGATCTACTTCAGCTAGGTAAAAATACAAGAAAATGGCAGGGTGCAATGGTTCACTCTGTAATACCAGCACTTTGGGAGGCTGAGGTGGGCAGATCACTTGAAGCCAGGAACTTGAGACCAGCTTGGCTAACATGGTAAAACCCTATCTCTGCAAAAAATACAAAAATTAGCTGGGTTTGGTGGCACACATGTGTGGCTTCAGCTACTTGGGTGGCTAAGGCATGAGAATTGCTTGAACCTGGGAAGTGCAGGCTGCAGTAAGCTGAGATCATCACATCACTGTACACTAGCCTGGGCAACAAAGCAAGACTCTGTCAAAAACAAAAAACAAAAAACCAAAAAAACCTCCAAAACCCAAGAAAATAATATCACTTGGCAATTCCACAATTTTTAAAAATCAGTGTCTGTAGGGGATTCATATGCATGAGTTGAAAAAATAAGGAAGAAAAATGTATCTCAAACTAAAAGTTCAAGACCACATGAAATTAATATAGAAAATGGAAAGTATGCTATGCAGCACAGGTATTTTGGGGATATTTTCGTAATTGCTTTAGATGCTAGCAAGATACAGTAACTTAATTATTTTAATATTTTATCTTAAGTAATGTTCTGAGATAAAAAGATATCAAAATGGTTTCTCATGGCTATTGAATGATGGCTGTCACAACGTTTGTTATGGAGCAGAAATCACTGTTAAGGTAAGTTAGTTTTTTTTTTTTTTTTTGAGACAGAGTCTTTCTCTGTCACCCGGGCTGTAGTACAGTGGCGCAATCTCGGCTCACTACAACCTCCCGGGTTCAAGTGATTCTTGTGCCTCAGCTTCCTAAGTAGTTGGGATTACAGATGCATACCACCACACCCAGCTAATTTTTTTTTTTTTTTTAAATTTTTGGTAGAGACATGATTTTACCATGTTGGCCAGGTTGGTCTCCAATCCTGGAGTGTTCTGCCTGACTCAACCTCCCAAAATGGTGAGATTACACGTGTGAGCCACCACACCCAGCTTCAGGGGATTTAGCCCAAGCTGTGCATTCAGGAAGCCTGAGGACAGCTAAATTCAAGTGTTCTTCATTCCTTTGCCTATTTTTGTAACCCACATTTCACCCATCTCCTTTGGAGGCCGTAATATAGAAGCAGAGGGGAAATTAAGCTAAATTCTTTGGACTAGGTCGCAGTTTACTCTTCTACCCACTACAGCCAGATCACTGGGAAAAATCTTTAAACTGGGGCCAGAAGAAAAGGGGAGTAATATTTGTTAGATGTCAATTTTGCTACCAACTGTGTTATGTGGTTTCACATTCCTTACCTGTGTAGTCAGAGCAGTAAGGCATTGCTAAGAAGGTTATTTGTTGTACAGTTTATTAGTGCCTTTGTACAGAGAAGAAAACTTGAGTCCAGAGAAATTAAATGACTTGTCTGAAGTCACACAGAGCAAAAGGACAGGGCAAGAAATTAGAGCCAGGTTTTTTGATTCCTGGTCAAGTTCTCTTCTCACTGAATTCTGTCTCTAGATAGCAATACCAGGGGCCGAGGCAAGTGATACAAAGTTCACCTATGTGATTGGCAGTCCAAATTTCGACAATACTACACTATGATTGCTGCTACAGGTAAATTTTTTTTTTTTTTTTTTTTAAATTTCGAGATGGAATCTTGCTCTGCCACCCAGGCTTAAGAGCAGTGGCACAATCTCGGCTCACTGCAACCTCCACCTCCCAGGTTCAAGTGATTCTCCTGCTTCAGCCTCCAGAATAGCTGGGACTACGGGCGCCTGCCACCACGCCTGGCTAATTTTTTGTATTTTTTAGTAGAGACAGCGTTTCACTCTGTTAGCCAGGATGGTCTCGATCTCCTGACCTCATGATCTGCCCGCCTCAGCCTCCTAAAGTGATTACAAGCGTGAGCCACCATGCCTGGCCCTACAGGTTAAAATTTAAATAGACAAATTAGGACATCATGAGCTTTACTCAGATGCTTATTACTCATTTCTACCTTAGGTAATCCATCACATCTCTAAAAGTATGTTTCTTTGCCTTGCAAGTGAAGAGAGTATTTAAATTATTTTACAAAGTATCACCCATCTAGTAGATGCAATTTTTTTTTTCCTTCAGAAATAAAATGCTCTTTGCTTTTGCCCATTTTCCTATTGGGTTATCTATCTCTTCACTGACTTTGGTGATATCCAGATATATATACCAGTTAAAATCCTTTGTTGATCATGCTACCAATAACTTCACTCAGTTTGTTGCTTTCATATCTTTTGAAGAAGAGAAGTCTTTAAGTTTCAAAGAGTCACATTTTATCCATTTTTTTCCTTTATGATTTGTCTTTTACATCTGCTACTTAAGAATCCTTTCCTACCTTAAGGTCACAGAGATATTTTGTACTTTTTAATGAAAGTCTTAGTATTTTGTCACATTTAATTGTATCATCCAATTAGAATTGATTTAGGGGTATTGTATGAGGTAGGGATCTAATTTCTTAACTCATATGGATAGCTCTTCATTCTGTCACAGTTTTTGGAGGGAAAAATCACAGAAAAAAATTGTTTAGTTTTATTATTACTTGAAAAAGTTTTTTAATTGGTACCATAAATTGTCCATATTTATGAAGTACATGTGATTTTTTTTTTTTTTTTGAGACAGAGTTTCGCTTTTGTTACCCAGGCTGGAGTGCAATGGCACGATCTCGGCTCACCGCAACCTCCGCCTCCTGGGTTCAGGCAATTCTCCTGCCTCAGCCTCCTGAGTAGCTGGGATTACAGGCACGTGCCACCATGCCCAGCTAATTTTTTGTATTTTTAGTAGAGACAGGGTTTCACTATGTTGACCGGGATGGTCTCGATCTCTCGACCTCGTGATCCACCCGCCTCGGCCTCCCAAAGTGCTGGGATTACAGGCTTGAGCCACCGCGCCCGGCTACATGTGATGTTTTAATGCATGCATAGAATGTGTAATGATTAGGAAAAATAAGAAAGAAATACATAAAAATTAGGATAATTAGGATATCCATCATCTCAAACATTTCTTATTTCTTGGTGTTGGGATTATTACTACTTTTTTAACAAAGAAAGTTAAAGTCTAAATGCTTCAGTGAGGTTCATTTATTATTGCCACACTGGGAGAAAATTTTGTCATTTATTATGTTTTTCCTTCTTTCAGGAATTTGACAAAGAAGAACTCTTAGAGTGTATTCAACAGCTTGTGAAACTGGATCAAGAATGGGTCCCTTATTCAACATCTGCTAGTCTGTATATTCGTCCTACATTCATCGGAACTGAGGTACAAACCGATTCCTTATTTTGGAGTAGTTTGGTGGGCAAGTTATTGTTTATTGTTGTTTGAAACTTATAGCGTGTAGTTCGCAGTAGCCCTCCAGTTGTATCATTAATGACTTTTTCCTTCTTATTGTCAAGATTAGGTGTAGCAAACATTTTCTGTAAAGAGACAGACAGTAAATATTTTTCGGCTTTGTGGCCTTACAGTTTCCATTAAGAAATTAGATTCCTACCTCTTACCATACCCCAAAAATCAATTATAAATGGATTATGTACTTAAATGCAACAAAATACTATGACATTTATTAAGAAATACAAAATATCTCTGTGACCTTAGGTAGGAAATTATTTTTGTTTATTTATTTTTTTGAGACAAGGTCTTGCTCTGTTGCTTAAGCTGAGGTGCAGTGATGTGATCACACCTGACTGCAGCCTTGACCTCCTGGACTCAAGTGATCCTCCTGCCTCAGCTTCCCAAGTAGCTAGGACTACAGGCATGTGCCACCATGCTTAGTTAATTTTTAAATTTTTTGTAGAGATGAGGTCTCACTCTATTGTCCAGACTTGTCTCAAACTCCTGGCCTCTAGCAATCTTCCCACTTCAGCCTCCAAAAGTGCTGGAATTACAGAGGTGAGCCATGCCACCTGACTGGAAAGGATTCTTAAATTCTGCCATTTTAGTAGTAAAGCAGCCATAGACAGCACATAAATGAGTAAACATGGTGCTGCTTGCCTTGCCTGCTTAAGACTAGTCATTATTTTCTCAGTTTACAAGTGCAGTGTCTCCCATTGTGGCTGCATTTCTCTCGGGTAGAAATGGTTTTAAAATTTCAGGGAGGGAGAGTTGCTACTTTTCATTTTCCTGAAGTCTTAGGATTACTTGGTATGAAGCGGGAATGGAGGGTCCCCTTCCCACATAGAAAAATTGTGAAAATAAAGTTCACGGTGGAAGTTAGGGAGGGAAATTGAAGAGCTGGGATGGTAGGTTTAAATAAAATGACCTTATGATTTCCTGGTGGGCCACAGTCTCTTTGTTGGGTTCCCTTGTGAACAAAAGTATGTATTAGGCATGCCTGGAGGGGCCAAGGCCTTTTGAGTGGACAAGTATTTTATATGAAGACCCTGTCACTTGTCTCCGGTATCTGGTAGGCAGCTGTGACCTTTGAGAGTGGGTGATATCGAAGGATAATTGACAGAAGGAGATGGAATGTAGCTGGCAGGTAAAGAGAGTGGGAACATACGAAGATATGTGGAATAAGAGAGTGAGAGTGCTTTTGCTATAGTCTAGCCATTCTGTTCTCTACTAAGTGTTGTGAGGTTACCAGGTTTTCTACCAGGCTGTATGAATGGGAAAAGTGGGGAGATACATAGGGCTCTGGAATAAATGCCGAAGTGTTTTCTTTGGTATGCTTGATGCCTTTAGCAAACCTTCTAAGGATGTAGATAATAAATTTCGTCTCTCTGACAAGTTTTAAAGAATTGGGACAATTTTAAAAAGTCATCTACTCCCGTAAGTTTTTCGACATTTTAAGATAATTGAATTATTTTTTTTCCAACTTTTAAGATTCAGGGTACATGTGCAGGTTTGTTATATAGGTAAATGTGTGCCAGGGTGCTTTGCTGCACAGAGCAACCCATCACCTAGGTATTAAGCTGAGCATCCATTAGCTATTCTTCCTGATGCTCACTCTGCTCCCACCCCTCCCAACAGGCCCCAGTGTGTGCTGCTCCCCCACATGTGTCCACATGTTCTCATTGTTTAGCTCCCACTTATAAGTGAGAACATGCAGTGTTTAATTTTCCTTTAATTTTTTTTTAACTTTATCATAGGAAGAAATACTTTTTAAAAGTTGGTTGAAACATTGTTACTGATCTCAAAGCACTATCTTCCAGTTATTTTGATATACTTTTTCAGGCTAAGATCTGATACTCCTATTCCTAGTTTGTTGAGAGTTTTTGTCATGAATGGATGTTAGATTTTGTCAACTTTTTTGAATCTCTTGACACACTATGTGGCTTTGTACTTTATTACATTATTAATGAATGAATTATATCAATTTATTTTTGGATATTAAATCAACCTTACTTTGTGAAATCCTACTTGATCATTGTGAATTATCCATTTTTTTATCTTGCTGTATTCAGTTTGCTAATATTTTAAGAATTTTTGTGTCAATGTTCATGAAAGATTGATCTAGTCTTCTTTCTTTCTTTCTTTTTCTTTTTCTTTTCTTTTTTTTTTTTTTTTAACATCTCTCTCCTCTTCCTCTTGATCTAGTTTTCTAATACAAGCTGGGCCCAAACTTACAATGGTCCTACTTAGGATTTTTTGACTGTGTGATGGTATGAAAGCAATATGAATTCAGTAGAAACTGACCTTTGAGTACACATACCATCCTGTTTTGTTTTACTCTTAGTATTCAATAAATTAGATGAGATATTCAATACCTTATTATAAAATAATACAGTTTTAGATGATTTTGCCCAACCATAGGTTAATGTAACTGTTCTGAGCACATTTAAGATAGGATAGGCAGAACTATGATGGATGTTTGGTAGGTTAGCTGTATTAAATGCATTTTCACCTTAAGGATATTTTCAACTTATGATGAGTTTACTGAGGTGGAACCCCATCATAAGTCGAGGAACATGTATATATCTAATTCCATGATTTAGTAAATTCTTTAGATTGCCAGAATCCTATAATGTAGAGTTAGGCAAGATCTTAAGTCGAGTCCATCTTGTAGTCATGATCATTCTCACTATTAGAGAGTTCTTAACTTTTTATATTGGAATTTCTGAGGTGTTATTTAAAATACGCATGTGGAATCCAATCCCCAGAGACTCTGAGTGGATCTGGAGAGTGATTCTGGTGCCTGCCCACATTCAAGAACCTTACCACAAAAGCCCTGCCAAGTTTCTCTCTCACCATACACTCTATCAACTTATATACTTGATCATACTTTGGACCTCAAAATCAATAATTTTAAAAAATCTGCTTCCTAAGTTGTAAGGTAAGAATTGAAGAAAATAATGAATACCATTTGGGGAATCAACATTATTTATATTAGCTTGGTATCTTTATATCAACTATCATTTTCTAATTAGCAGTGTAGGCAGAAGAAGCCATCACTTGTGATTCAGAAAGGATCATGATACAAATAACATCCAATAAAGTACATGGATTTAAATATTTCTCCCCCGGACAGATATTACACAATTCATGTTGGTAATAATCATGCCTTAGGTTTTCATGGTGGTGACGTTTGATATGTGAAGTACTGGCTGGAAGACGGGTGCCAGTAGCTTCAGGTTCACTGGGATTCTTTCATCAGAGATGATTAGCTTTTGCTTGTCTGTTTATGTTACTTGTTTTTATGATGGGTCTGTCCTGTCATTGTCTTCATAGAATAACTATAAGCCTAACTGTGTCAGTTATGTGATTTAAAAAAATTTTTTTTGGTCCTGTCTTGCTTTTGGCTGACTTTTATGTTTTCCTTTCATGTCCTTTTCATGGTTAGATTAACTGGGTCTTATGTCCAAAAGATATTTTGATTTCTTTCAATGAATAAATCTATGTTAGGGTAGTGTATTAAGTTTTATAAACAACAAGTTGATCACTTGTAGCCGATCTCTATTCCCTGGTATGGTAGTCACTGTGTGTATAGAACACTGAGGATTCTACAATGGACACATTTATATTGGGCCCCAGGCCAGACCCAAATTCTAAATTTGTAGAGCCGGGATCAGAGACTCTGCATTTAACGAACTCTCCAGAGATTTCATAACCACTTTTAAAAGAATCACCATCCCAAACCTTGTTAAGGAATCAAATATATGTCTGCCAGTAATTTTTAGCGCTTTAAATCATTGAAAGCTGAACTTTCAATGGCACCAAAGTGGAAATATTTATATCACTGAAGTTAAACTTCATCCTAATGGCAGTGTTGAGTTCACTTCCTAGGCCATGGTACAACAGTCTGATATTAATTATTGCCTTTCACACTAAATAAGATTCAGTAGCTGCCATATAATTGGGGAGCAGCTCTGATACTGACTTAAAGAATTTCATTATGTTTGCCAAGCTCTGCCTCTTTACATGCTTTATAATTAACTGACCCTTCATTTTTAATAATCTTCATAGATACATACTTGTTATACCAAGTTTTTGTGCAGTTCTTCATGATAAATAATTAAGTCTATTACAGAAATCCTTATGGATTTACAATGATAATAAACAGACATGTATATTATTGGAAAATGTTTAATTAACTGTTCATATATAACCAGTGAGTAGGGATTGCCAATTAAAAATACCAGGCTACCACTGCATAGAAATTTGAAGAAAAAAAAACCCCGAAATTCAGAATACTTCAAAATCTGAAACTTTTTGAGCACTGACATGATACTCAATGAAAATGCTCATTGGAACATTTCAGATTTCCTATTTTCAGATTAGGGATGCTGAATTGGCAGGTGTAATGCAGATTAATCCAAAATCAAAAAAAAAAAAAAAAAAAAATCCTAAATCAGGAACAATTTTGGTCAGAAGCTTTTTGGATAAGGGATAGTTCAAGCTTTTTGGATTGAAGCTTTTTGGATAAGAGATATTCTGTAATACATAAATACATAATACGGGATAGTAATCGACCTGAATGTATAACATCAATGTGGTACACAAATAAATATTTAAATCCATGTACTTTATTGGATGTTATTTTATATAAATGTATTGTAAAAAATAGTTTAGAAAATAAAATCATTAACATTACCAAAATATTTCTCATATTTTAAAAAAGGATTATAGTAGTATTTTAATCAGTATCTCCTAAAGTATTTATTTACGGGTTGTTAAAAACCTAAGAGAAACTACAAGCTGGAGTGCTCTAAACTACTGCTGATTATGTATCAATTGGGAATTAAGAGAAAATCTGAGATCATAATATTTAAATAAAGAACATTTACATGAATGATTTCTAAATTTTTACTTTACTAGACAAGAAA